CCTGCCCCCGGCGCTGCGCCCTGGAAGGCGGCTCCTTTGTGACCACGTTCGACGCCAGGCCCTACCGCTTCCACGGCACCTGCACCTACACCCTCCTCCAGGTGGGAGGCCCGCCAGGGACCCCCCAGGGAACTGCCCAGAGGGGTCACCACGGGGTGGGGGTCTCACAAGGGTCCCGCCAGAGGGGGTCCCCACCAGCCCCCGGCCCTCTGTGCTTCCTGTCCTCCCCAGAGCCCCCAGCTCCCCGACGGGGGCTCCCTCATGGCCGCCTACGACAAGTCTGGGTACTCGCATTCGGAGACCTCCCTGGTCGCCCTCATCTACGTGTCCAGCCAGGTAAGGCCGCCCCGACTGCCGCCACTGCGCCTACCAGCCTGAGCACACGGTCCTGCCCCCGCCCAGCCCCCGCCCTCCGCACCCCGTGACTCAGGGCCTCCCTCCAGGACAAGATCGTGATTTCCCAGGATGAGCTGGTCACCAACCACGGAGACACCAAGTGGCTGCCATACAAGACCGGTAGGTCGCAGCCTCTGCCTGGGCCACAGGGGCCGGGCCCAGAGAGGCCGCCTGCTGAGCCTCCGTCCCACAGGCAACATCACGGTCTTCAAGCAGACGTCCACCCACCTGCAGATGGCCACCACCTTCGGGCTCGAGCTGGTGGTGCAGCTGCAGCCCGTGTTCCAGGCCTACGTCACCGTCGGGCCTCAGTTCAGAGGCCAGACTCGAGGTGAGTCCCCGCCGGGCCGGGCCTGACCTCCCGGGAAACGAAGGGGCCCCACAGAGACTCACGGGACCCAGCAGGTCCCGCCCCTGGGCCTCGGCCAGCCCCCCAGGGGTGCGGCTGGGGCTGGCCTCCTGCCTGGGGCCGGTGAGGGGACGCGGGGCAGGACTGGGATGCGGGACGCCTACTCTCATGGCCTGGCCGCTCAGGGCTCTGCGGCAACTTCAACGGGGACACGACGGATGACTTCACGACCAGCATGGGTATCCCAGGGCACGGCGCCTCGCTCTTCGAGGACTCCTGGCGGGCAGGGAACTGCCCGGCCGACCTGGAGC